TTAAACCTAAATCCAGTTCACAACTGTCCTATAGGAGATTTACTGCTACAGGGTGGTGCACAATCACACACACACATACATATATATATATATATATATATATATATATATATATTGTAACGGGGTTAGCTCGGCAGCGGGTGTGTGTGACCCCCTGGATGGGTGCACAACACAAAAAGATAGGCACAGCACAACAATAGTGGAGGTGAAAACAAACAGGTGCAATTTATTTACAATATTTACAGAAAAAATGGTAAACTAAAAAGAAACATCAAAATAAATCCTGGCCAACTTGGCTACTTACTGCAACAACAGCTTTCCCTAGCTACCCACTAGGTACAGCCTGCTGCTATACCTAGTTGCTAGTACTTGGAGGCTAGCCACACAGGCTTTGGTCTCTCTGCACACAGATAACAGGTCAGCTCCCCAGACAGTTCAGGCACAGATCTGGTTCCAGGGTGGAGCAACTCCCTAAGCACTCTGGGAAGTTTTATACAGGTGTTAATGAGCCCACTACCTTCAGCTGGGCCCATTACCTCAGTGCTGAAGGACTCAGCACTTCCCTCTAGTGGTACAAATCCCCATAAAGCCTGAACCTCGGACAAATATATCGTCCATCCAGGACGCAACCAGGTGATTTCACCTGCCTACTGTCACAATATATATATATGCACTTCCTGGTTGAGGGGGCGCATGCATGCTCCCGGCATGCTACTTCTGCTGTGATTAGTCATAGCAGAAGCTGATCAGCATGTGCTGGCCAATGGATGACCACCGACACACACTGATCGGAGAGGAGAGAGACAGGAAACAGCTCTGCTTATGTAAACAAGGAAGAGCTGTGTCCTGTCAGAGGTGATGTGCTGGATTTTGTTCCCTTGCAAAGCAGGGAATAAAATCCAGCACATCCCTTAATAAAAGCACATGGCAGTAAACACAAAATCACTGGTTAGGCAGACAGTTAACCCTTTGATCACCTTAGACGTTTAACCCCTTCTCAACCAGTGTCATTAGAACAGTGACAGTGTATATTTTTTAAGCACTGATCACTGTATTAGTGTCAATGGTTCCCACAAAATGTCAGTTCCTGTCACTTTATCTGCTGCAATATCGCTTATCGCCACCATTACTAGTGTAAATAAATATTCCAGTATATATACCATTGTTTGTAGATGCTATAACTTTTGCGTAAACCAATCAGTATATGCTTATTGGGATTTTTTAACACGTAGCAGAATACATATTGGCCTAAATGTATGAAGAAATCGTTTTTTTTTATTTTTTTATTAGATATGTTTTATAGCAGAAAGTAAAAATGTCATTTTTGTACAGCGTTGCATGACCACATAATTGTCAGTTAAAGTAAATCAGTATAGCAAAAAAATGGCCTGGTCAGGAAAGGGGGTAAACCTTCCAGAGGTCAAGTGGATATTTAAAGTGTTTGTAAAGGCTGAAAGTTTTTTACCCTTATGCATTGTATGCATAAAGGTAAAAAACATTCTGTGTGCTGTTCCCCCCACAGCCCCCCTAATACTCTCCTTACCTCCCTTTTGAACCAGAGATGTGCTCGAGACCTTTGGCTATCCCCGGTCTCTCTCTCCTCATTGGCTGAGACAGCAGCGGTAGCCATTGGCTCCTTCTGCTGTCAATCACAGCCAGTGAGCCAATTAGGATAGAGCGGGGGGCAGGGTGGAGCCGCAGCTCTATGTGTACTATGGAGGCATATAGCAAGGCTCGGGTGTGAGCATGCACCAGTGCCCCCAAAGAAAGCCACCTGATATTGAAGGCACTGGTCATGGGGAAGGAGCCAAGAGTGCCAGCGGGGGACCCGAGAAGAAGAGGATTGAGGCTACTCTGTGTAAAACCATTGTAAGCATGACATGTTTCTTCTTTTTTTTTTTTTAAACAAGCTTTTATATCACTTTAACTTTTTATAAGGCAGGCTCATATTCAATTGTGATTCTATACAATAATTACTGTTTGGCTGCCATGGACTAAAATTCTCTCTACATAGATTTTTGACCTATTAATTAAGATAAATAGTGATGACACTACCTACTGACTAAATGTAATAAGGTAAATATGTAAAAAAAATTGTCAAATAAAATTGATGTGTGGTCGTCATGTGAAGGGATTTGAATTTTGCATCTCCAATTTGTTCAACTATATTGTACTGTAACTGTACTGTCTGCCTGCATGTTGTAAAGTGCTGTGCAAACTGTTGGCTCTCGATAAATCCTGTATAACAATAATAATATAGAAGATCTAACAGTTCAGTTGAATCTCCAATGTGAAGCAACCAAAAAGAAATGATTGAATTTTATTTGGTAGTACATATGAATTATTGCACTGAATATTATAGGTATGAATTAGCATTTTTTAATTATAGCTTTGAATTAGCATTTTTGTCAAATCTTTTAATTCTCAGTTGTCAGGTAGACAGCACAAAGGACGCCGTGGAAAAATAAAAGATTTTTGCTTGGATCAAGTCCTGTGGTGGTGTGTGGCCATTATTCTTCTTTACTTTTCTTTCATGCCGGGGCAAGCAGGCAAGCAGTTGCATGAGACTACAGTAAGTATACTCACCTGAGAGGCAGTGGTGTATTTAGTTGTTGTGCTACCCTAGGCAACACTACAATTTGGCACCCCCACTCTCCACCAGTCAACCCCCCAGCCCCGCCGCCACTCCCCAACACAACTCCCCCGCCTCCATTCTCCGCCAAACACCCCCACACCCCCCCCCCCGGCCTGCCACCGCCACTCTCCACCAAACACCCATTCTCCACTTCCACTGGCAATGGAAGTGTCCTCCCCAGACTCTCTTGGTCTCTGCCAGTCTCTCTTTCGCCTCTCAAGACTGGACCCTCTTACTCCATCCTGCCCTGTCCTCCTAGGAGCCTCTCATGAGTCCAGGGCTGCCTCTAAAAATCTTGGGGCCCCATACAGCCTACCTGACAGGCACCCACCCCCCCCCCACTCTCTGCAAAAATATGAAAACTATATTATTACTAAAAACACACAATAATCATTATTAGCAGACACAAACATAACATAACTTACAACATTCCTGTTAAATCTAAAAGATAAAACTGTACTGAGTTAATAAATAGAGCTCACCTAGCACAAATCCCTTCCAGCACAAATCCCCCCCCCCAATCCACTCTCCCAGCACAAATCCCCCCAAACTCCCCTCACAGCACAAATTCCACCCAATCCTCCCACCCATCACAAATCCCCTCAATCCCTCTTCCTAGCACAAATTCCACTCCAATCCCTCCTCCTAGCAAAACTCCCACCAACCTCCCTCCCAGCACAAATCCCCCCAATCCCTCCTTCTAGCACAAATCCCACTCCAATCCTTCCTCCCAGAACAAATCACCCCCACCCGCCCTCCCAGCACAAATCCTCATCAATCCCTCCTCCTTGCACAAATCCCTCATTCCCCCTTCCAACACAACCCCCACAAACCCCTCTTCCAGCACAAATACCCCAAACCCTCCTCCCAGCACAAATACCCCCCAATCCTTCCTCCTAGCACAAATACCCCCTCCCACCACAACCTCCCCAACCTCCATCCATCCCAGCACAAACCCCCCTAAACCCCTTCCCTGTACAAATCCCGCCGATCCCTCCTCCTAGCGTAAAAATTCCCCAAATCCCTCCACAAATCCACAACCCCCTCCCAATTAAGCTTCCCAAAACAAATTCTTCCTTCCTACTCTAGTTCCCCCAGCACAAATCTCCCCTCTTAGCACAAATCCTTCACCCCCCTCCTAGTTCAAACATTCCTCCCAATATTTTCTTCTGGCTCAAATCCCCCAAATACTCCTACTAGTACATATTTCCCCCATTCCTCCTATCAAATACCCCCCCAAATCCCTATTACACTTTGCAGAAATGGTGGAGAGGAAAGAGCCAGGAGGAGGTGCACTGTGTTGTGCTCTCCAGGCTCTCCCTCCTGTCAGAACAGTGCTCGTACATGCAGCAAATAAGGCAGGATCATTGTTAGATCATATCTGACTGTACAGACACACACACAATGATTACTGCCCTTTCCTCCTCCAGGGGCTGCTCATCTCCCGGAAGCAGGAAATGTGGCAAGGGGGTGGTAATCATACTGTGTGTGTGTACAGTCTGATACGATACCCCCCCCGATGGTGGTCCTTCATGGGTCAGTCTACCCCTGCTCACCAGGTTCCTTCTTCTGTGGGGACGGCACTACCCCCCTAAAAATTGCCATCCTAGGTACATACTTTGCTTGCTTCATGGTAAATACACTGCTGCTGAGCGGTGCACATTTTTTGTTTGGACTAAGAACATGTTTACTAATACCTGTTGATCTTCCATGAAATGCAATGCCTTTGTCAATTTCTGTGAGATAGATTGGAAGAAAAAACAATGTTATCTTTCTTGTGTAAACTATTAATCCCATCAACCTTTTGCAAATGAGCTTAAAAATGTAGACATGTAGAGAAGTTGAGCCTGATTGGCAACCATGGCTCATCTCATAGAAATGGCGGAGGTAAGAAAACAAACGAAAAAAGACTACTGTATTTTTCGCTCCATAAGACGCACTTTTTTTCTCTCCAAAAAGGGGGGGAAAATGTCAGTGCGTCTTATGGAGCGAATGTAAAGCGGCCGGTCTGGTATTTCTGCCGACACCATGTCAGAATACCAGGCCGGCCGCTCAGCTGTTCTCTCCTGCAGGACCTTACCTGTTCCTCACTCCAGTGCTGCAGTCTTCCCGCGGCGGCTTCTGTGACAGCCGGGTGCCCACTGCGCATGCGTGAGAAGCTTTGCGCTTTGTGAATGGTTCAGCGTCTTCTGGGACACATGACAGGTCCCAGAAGGCTCCGGGCCATTCACAAAGAACAAGCTTCTCGTGCATGCGCAGTGGGCACCCGGCTGTAACAGAAGCCGCCGCGGGAAGAAAAAGGAAGGACAACTCCGCGGAAGTAGGAGCGGGTACCTGTCAAATTCAGGTACCCGCTCCCCCTCTCTCCCCAAAGGTCCTCAGTCTTTGGTCATCCCCTGCACTGTCTGCAGTCTCTGGTTATCTGTACTATGTCCACAGTCTCTGGTCATCTCCTGTACTATGTCCGCAATCTCTGGTCATTCCCTGTACTGTGTCCGCAGTCTCTGGTCATCCCCTGTACTGTGTCCGCAGTCTCTGGTCATCTCCTGTATTGTGTCCGCAGTCTCCGGTCATCTCCTGTACTATGTCTGCAGTCTCTGGTCATTCCCTGTACTATGTCCACAGTCTCTGGTCATTCCCTGTACTATGTTCGCAGTCTCTGGTCATTCCCTGTACTATGTCCGCAGTCTCTGGTCATTCCCTGTACTGTGTCCGCAGTCTCTGGTCATTCCCTGTACTATGTCCACGGTCTCTGGTCATTCCCTGTACTATGCAGTCTCTGGTCATCTCCTGTACTATGTCTGCAGTCTCTGGTCATTCCCTGTACTGCGTCCGCAGTCTCTGGTCATTCCCTGCACTGTGTCCGCAGTCTCTGGTCATTCCCTGTACTGTGTCCGCAGTCTCTGGTCATCTCCTGTACTGTGTCCGCAGTGGGTGAGAAGCTTTGCGCTTTGTGAATGGTCCGGCGTCTTCTGGGACACATGACAGGTCCCAGAAGGCTCCGGGCTATTCACAAAGAACAAGCTTCTCGTGCATGCGCAGTGGGCACCCGGCTGTAACAGAAGCCGCCGCGGGAAGAAGAAGGAAGGACAACTCCGCGGAAGTAGGAGCGGGTACCTGTCAAATTCAGGTACCCGCTCCCCCTCTCTCCCCAAAGGTCCTCATCTCTGGTCATCCCCTGCACTGTCTGCAGTCTCTGGTTATCTGTACTATGTCCACAGTCTCTGGTCATCTCCTGTACTATGTTCCGCAATCTCTGGTCATTCCCTGTTCTGTGTCCGCAGTCTCTGGTCATCCCCTGTACTGTGTCCGCAGTCTCTGGTCTTCCCCTGTACTGTATCCGCAGTCTCTGGTCATCTCCTATACTGTGTCTGCAGTCCATTGTTGCAGAATATTTTTTATCTTGTTTTTCTCCTCTAAAACCTAGGCGCGTCTTATGGTCAGGTGCGTCTTATGGAGAGAAAAATACGGTAATTCAAGCATGTCAGCTAAGAACTGGTAATCTGCCATACATTTTATTTCTTATGTCAAGCCAAATACGTTTTTGTGTTTTGAATAAAATGGATTAGAACTCTTTTTAGGTTTTTACTGCTGCTCTGGTACTCCATCATAGAGATTTACCACCATTTATTGTCCTTCTGACAGCTGTTTTACCAAACAGAAAGTGAGGGAGATGCTACAACAGGGACACAGGCAGTATTACAAATCTGAGAGGGGTTCTAACCTTACCATTTACTTCTAAAGAGTACTACTAAAGCATTTTTATTAGTGTCTGTTCTAAGCTTTTCCCACTTAATCCAAAACAAGTTTTGGCTGGATATACATATTAAGCCATTTCTCTGCTTGTCATTGATGTTTTCCCTTTTATCCATAAGTAGACCTTATATTTTGGTATATGTATTGATTCATTGGAGAAGCTTCCAAATACGTAGGGTTTCATGATCCAAAGCTCATCATATTATAAAATGATGGCCGTTGCACCACAAGCTGTCATAACAAAGTAAATTATATTTCTTATAGTAAAATTTCAGCTGTAGAATTTGTAGCCATCACTGCAAACATTCTAACTACATCACAAAATACTGTTGACAATTTTGAGTTTTTAATAGCATGGCAAATTTGGGCTCTGCACATCATTTTTTCTTTCCAGTAAGTCATAACATGGCTATGAGGGAACATTCTGCTGAAGACTGGCTGCAAGTTACAATATGCAGTCTTCAAATCTGTGAACTGAGACTGTTACATCACCAAGATGAATAATTTATGTACCGTATGAGTATGTGTGTTCTACTTCAAACCAGAGTTTAAAATGTATAAATGATTTTTCAGGAAAGGGCAATCGGACTGTGAGGATTTAACTCCCAGTGCAAAAAAATAGGAAACTGGAAAAATGTTTTAATGCAAACGAAAAGTCAGAGTAGCTGTGAATATGAGCTAAATTAGATGCAGGAAAATGGGGAAAAGAATTCTGGAACCAAATTATATTTGGCAAGAGCTGAAGTGTATAAACTACCAAAGAAAAGATGCTTTTGAATTGATTTCTGCTGCTTTGGAGAGGATTTAATGTGAGTTAGATGTTGGCTTTTTATTGCTCTGCTCTGCCCAGATTTACCTCACACTTCAAAGCATTAACAAACCATTATACCATTCAAACTGTATTTGATAGCCTGGCTAATCTGATGCAACTGATTTTACAAGGAAATTAAAAAGCTAACATCTTAATTAAGTAACAGATGAAGTTATGAGAGCAATGAAAAGTTTGGTGATGGCAATTGCAGAAACACCATTAAAAGTGTACCTTAAGGAGTAAGTTGTTTCTAATTCAATCGTTTGATGCTACAATGTGCCTTCAATATATATATATTGATTTTTAACCAAGTGGGTTCCAGTCCCAGTTAAGTCATTGTGACACAGCATGGTCATGTTATCTCCTAATAGTATGAACAATGACTGTTTTACTAATTTTCTAATGCATTTCCTGTTCTGGTGACAGTTCAAAATTTTGAATTCTCCACGTACTTTCAGTTTCCGGGATAGAGGTCACCTAGTCAAATAAAAAGATTGAATCTATCTAACAGAGGCACAAGCAGCAACAAAAATCTGTCAGGTTCTACTATTTTACCACTACCCAAAACTAAAAAAAAACAGTTTTGGCTTTAGGAAACTTAATAATGTAGTATTTTTTTTTTCACTTTTCAGTAACTGCATTTTATGACCTCCATGCTCTTTTGGACATTATTCTTAGACTTCAGGTTTCAGTAAATTTAATTTAATTTAGTTGTAAGTTGTCTCAGCTCTCTAGAATACCATAAGGAGATCTAGGACAGTAAGTGAGAGACAATCTTCCAATGTGTACCCCTGTTCTGGTGACAACAGTTTTTTAAAGGATTTTCTTTACTCTAGAGAAAATATCTCTAACTTTCTGTTGTAACTTCCTCACAGGAAGTGAAAGAACATTTCCCAAAGAGGAAAAAAACAAGGGTTTTGACCATTCTCTACTCTAAACACTAAACATGTGCACTCCAGAAATTTTCATTTAGTTTCATTTTGTATGTATTCATTCATTGAAGAGTTTCATTTCATCATATCATTATATTGAAACAATGTGTTTTCAGGATTCATTTAGTATCTTCAGCATTTGTTTCGTATATGCGTTAGCCTCGGTTGATTTGAATATTGTAACAGTTAAGATTGATATATATTTGATATACACTGCTCAAAAAAATTAAAGGAACACTTTGAAAAGACATTGGATCTCAATGGGGAAAAATATCGTGCTGGATATCTATACTGATATGGAATGGGTAGTATGTTAGGAACGTAAGGATGGGCCATTATTTGATGGAAATGAAAATTAGCAGCCAACAGGGGAGTGAATTCAAAGACTCCTAAAATCACAGTAAAAAATGATGCTGCAGGCTAGTCCACTTTGCTGACATTTCATTGCAGCAGCAACACAAAATGTAGTTTGTATGGCCCCCACATGCTTGCATGCATGCCTGACAATGTCGTGGCATGCTCCTAATGAGACAACGGATGGTGTCCTGGAGTATCTCCTCCCAGATCTGGACCAGGGCATCACTGAGCTCCTGGACAGTCTGAGGTGCAACCTGGTGGCGTCAGATGGAATGAAACATGATATCCCAGAGGTGTTCTATTGGATTTAGGTCAGGCAAGCGTGGGGGCTATTCAATGGTATCAATTTCTTCATCCTCCAGGAACTGCCTGCTTACTCTTGCCACATGAGCCCGGGCATTCTCATGCACCAGGAGGAACCCAGGACCCACTGCACCAGCGTAGGGTCTGACAATGGATCCAAGGATTTCATCCCAAAACCTAATGGCAGTCAGGGTACCATTGTCTAGCCTGTAGAGGTCTGTGCGTCCCTCCATGGCTATGCCTCCCCAGACCCTCACTGACCCACCACAAAAACAGTCATGCTGAATGATTTTACAGGCAGCATAACGTTCTCCATGGCTTCTCCAGACCCTTTCACATCTGTCACGTGCTCAGGGTGAACCTGCTCCCATCTGTGAAAAGCGCAGGGCGCCAGCGGCAGACCTGCCAATTCTGGTGTTCAATGCCAATCAAGCTCTATAGTGCCGGGCAGTGAACACAGGGCCCATTAGAGAATGTTGGGCCCTCAGGCCACCCTCATGAAGTCTGTTTATGATTGTTTGGTGAGAGACATTCACGCCACTGGCCTGCTTTAGGTAATTTTGTAGGGCTTTGGCAGTGCCCATCCTGTTCCTCCTTTCACAAAGGAGCACATACCGGTCCTGCTGATGGGTTAAGGACCTTCTATTGCCTTGTCCAGCTCTCCTAGAGTAACTGCCTGTCTCCTGGAATCTCCTCCATGATCTTGAGACTGTGCTGGGAGACACAGCAAACCTTCTGGCAATGGCACGTATTGATATGCTCTCCTGGAGGAGTTAGACTGCCTGTGCAACCTCTGTAGGGTCCAGGTATGGCCTCATGCTGCCAGCAGTGACACTGACCCTAACCAAATGCCAAACTAGTGAATACATAGTCAGAAAAGATGAGTAGGTAAAAAAATGTCAGTGGCTTCCACCTGCAAACCATTCCTGTTTAGGGGTCGTCTCATTGTTGTCCATCTAGTGCACCTGTGGTTAATTTCAAAAGCAGCTGAAACTGATTAACAACCCCCTCTGCTACTTAACTGACCAGATCAATATCTCAGGACTTTAACCCCTTCGCGCCGGTGCCTCCCAGCCCTTTAAGGGTTCCAGAAGCCGGGATGCAGGGCGGGGTTTAAGGTCATGTGACCGCCGTGACACACCGTCACGGCGGTCACATGATCGGGAAAGGTCCCGATCGAAAGAGGAGATCGGGACCTTTCCGTGAGTACTGGGCACGCGCTCTCAGCACATGTCTTTTTTTAGTAGAACGCAAATGTGCGCCGCTTGGCGTCTAGGCCCAGACGCTGGGAGGCCGCACATTTGCGTTCGGCTGGTGTGCAGAGGTTAATTGACTTGATGCTATACTCTGATTAAAAAGTGTTCCTTTGATTTTGTGAGCAGTGTATTATCGAATCAGACAGATTTGAATTGTAAGGATTCAATATTTTCAGCCGCTAGTCCAACCCACCATGAGGAATGGCATGAGCTGATTAGGCAATATCAACTAGAGTCAAGTGCATCCAAATTAAGAAATGGAATGAAATTTGAATCCACTCGATATCTGAATCCGAATTATCAAACAAATTAAATTTATTTCCCCATTGCATCATGTGATGTTATCTGAATAAAACAAATCCATTTGTTAATTTTGTTAAAATTTTTTTTTTGATTGGTTGACATTTGTTACTATGACTATTTGGAGATTCGTATGCATTTGAATCTCCAAAAATGAAATTGCCGTCCAAAAAAATAATCATAATGAAACAAAACACAAAAAAAAAAATTTGCTTTTGAGATTATATTTAACTCTTCCTCAATTCCAGCACCAAAGTGAATGAAACATGAAAACGGAAAACACATAGTGAATAAGATGACTCATCATTTTTTTTTTTGCTATTAAATTTTGTCTTTCTAGTGTATGCTAGATAAGGACATGTTGGTAATAGTGTAGCTAAAAATACAACAAAGCAGGGAAAGAGATCTCCTACCAGAGTAACTCTTTTCAATAATTATTTCTCTTAAAAGCTA